CTACCATGGTTTTCACAGTTTTCCTCTTGGCTTTACTGCTGGTGTAACCAACTTTCTTGGGAACCACAGTTACAATATTTTACCCAAATAAAGTGCAAATAACACACACACACACACACACACACCACATGCTGTCTAAGCGAGAGAGGCCCTTAGACTGAAATGTCATCCCTTTGTGTCACAGGTGAGAAGCATTTCCTGACTCACCCTCAGCCCATTCAGATGTTTTTAGAGTCTGATTTTCATTTTTGACAATTGAGCAAAGTTACAAACCCAGAGCAGTTTTTTTCCCTTCAACTTTGCTGTTTGAGTAGTGGAAAGTTCGAGCTTGGCATCCTATTTGCAATGATGAAGTCCTTGGTTTTACTAAATTCTATCATGTGATCTCCAGCTTTATTTCTATCATCGAGACCTATTTCCCCAGTATTGTTTCTTCTTCTTTGTTTCCAACTTTTGCATTTCTAAGGCAAATAATTATCAATGCATCTTTATTGAATTTCTGGTCAATTTCAGATTGAAGACCTTGGTAGAATTCTTCATCTTCTTCATCACTAGCTTTAGTGTTTGTTACATAAATTAGAATAATAGTATTGATTGAATTTCCTTGATTGTGGATAGATATAATTCTATCACAGACTGCATGGAACTTTAAGATCTTGAAAAAATCTTTTTGATGATGAATGCATCGACATTCCTCTTCATTGTCTCATTCTATAATAATAAACCATGATTTTCTGTTTTTAAGTACCAATTCATTTCAGCTCACCGACACCTAGGATATCATTCTTTATGCATCCATTTCATTTTTGATGACTATCAATTTTTCCTAGATTCATATTTTGGACACATCAAATTCTGAATATTAGTAGATATTTGCAGCTGTCTATTCTCACTTAGAGCCATGCCTCATCAGCAAATGAAGGTTCCTGAAGGTTTTATTCTCACAGGTTTTACTCCACTCATGTCATTATTGTCAACTTTACTTTGAGAAATCAGTTTCCCCTCCGGCACATTTTGAGTAACCTCCAACCCAAGGAATACATCCTCTGCACAATCTTTGACAATTTTCCGTGCCCATTGATTAGGCCTTCAGTATCTGATGATGTTTCAATGCAGTGCATAAAGTTTTCAGTGGTTAATGTGTCCAAAGTGAATAGCTGATTCCTTCTTCATAGTCTGTGGGTGACCCTCCTGGGATTTGAAATACCAGTGCCATAGCTTCCGGCATCATAGCAACACTGAACCCACCACATTATGACAAACTGACAGAGGTGTAGTAGCAAAATAAAGAAATAAAATCAATTGCTAGGAAATGAGTTGTGCATGGTTTATACCAGCAGCAATTTGTGTTCATATTAAATTGAGTAATTGACCTTCATTATCTGTTGACAAGTCAGTATGCACAGGTCAGAAAAACAAGATAATGGATTTTTATCCTTAGAACTGACCAGTGAATGACATCATTTTATGTGGATAAAAGCTTTAAGTTGTCAAGAGCTGTATTTTACTTAAATCCACAATTAAAGCTCCTGAAAGCTGCAGTCAAGAAATCATACGACACATTATTCGGGGCAAATGATCTATTTAAAGGGTTAAAGAACAAGGATCTCACTGTGATAACTAAGGTGCCCCTGACCAAAGACATAGTATTTTCAATGACTTCATATACATGTGAAAACGAGGAATTGACATATTTGAAGTATGGAGAAGAATACTGGAAGTGCTGTGGACTGTTAGAAAAACAACAAATAGGTCTTGGAGGAAGAACAGCCAGAATGCCCCTTAGAAATGAGGATAGGGAGACTTTGTCTCGTGTACTTCGAACATATTATCAGAGAGGCCAGTCCTTGGAGAGGGACGACATAATGCTTGGTAAAGCAGAATGTCGGCAAAAAAGAGGAAGGCATTTGGCATGTTGCATTGATGCAGTGGTTGCACAATGGGCTCAAACATAACACCAACTGCGAGGATTTCACAGAACTGGGGCAATACTTCATTCTATTGTATATAGGGTTGCTTTGAGTAGGAGCAAACTCAATATAAGCTAATGACAACAGTTGTAGATTTATGTGAAGCAAGCCTAAATATTGTAATATTGTGAAGTACTGCAATGAAAGGTAAGAAAAATCCTCTCACGTATATCCTTATAATTATGAGAATTTTTACTTTGAATGGGAAAATTGCTATTCTCTAATCAATACAAAGGCCCGATCCATTGGTCTCAAATTTTTATTAGGGACTGCTCTTAGTTGAGTCATTTGAAAATCTGAAACCAAACAGAAAATTCCACCACACCTATCCATTTATAGACGTTTTTATAACTTCAGTTTAATTAAGAATGAATTATGACCCAAGAATCAATACAAAAAATAAAGCAAAAAAAAGCCTTCCCAGGTGGCACTGAGTTAGTGCAGAAGTTTGTTAAGTTCTGACCTAATTGACCTCCAGGGTCCTTTTTATCTTTAAAAAGGATCACAGATTCACACATATTTTCTAATGCACTGTCCTGATTATAACATTAAAACATATGCAAGATTAAGGAGAATTTATGGCAGATAACATACAAGTGCGATTCTCCGATCTGTCTTTGTACAATATAAAAAGTTAAGACATTTCTCAAAGTTCAACCTGAAGGTTCAGTTTAGGGTTTTCTTTTGATTCTAACAAGGTAGATTAAACTTCAACAAAGATATATACTCTTTGAGTATAGTGAATAACTTAAAGAAGTCTAATATACAGTGAGCCATTTGTGTAACAAACTATGTTTTCTCCAAAGCCTTCTTTAAAAGAAAAAGCAATGTGCTTAATTCTGCAAAGAAATTTCTTTTGGACTCTGGTAGATTTTAAATAAGGTACGTATTTATCTTCAATAAATTAGAAATTTCTGAATAGTTTTAATAGTGTTGCTAAATTTTCCCCTTTTTAATATTAACCTTTTTCCAATAGATATTATTTGTTGAGTATATTTTGTTCTCAAGGAGCACATATTTTATTTAATTTACATTCGTCATTGGATTTAAGCCTCATGCAGCAGATGTTCTAAGGTAAACTGTCTTAATCTGTGTGTTGCAAATCCATAGAGTTGTGTAACTGAGTGTGAGGTAGAGAAAAACTTGGAAAGAGTAAGAGGTTTTTGAACCCTTAAATATAAAAAATTAATCAAATCAAACATTTCTGGTATCACTTGTCCAAGTTGCCAATTTCAGCCAAAAAGGAGCCTCGATGGAATAAATTTAAGAAGACTTTTTCTGTTACATTTTTCTGATGAAAACCCAGAAACACACGCCAGTTAAACAGTTTACCTAAGATTACTCAGTGAGTGACAAATCTTGGATTAAAAGAAACATTTATGCAGATTCAAACATGACGCTTTTAACAAATAAAACAGTTTAACTTTATAAAAGCATTAGTAATAGAGAAAGAATCACCTTCACTTCTTGTGACTCTATTCCTATTTTAATTTGATGAAAATTCCAAATAAAATATATGAGTCCAAGTATGTTATCAAACTCCTTGAGAAAAAGAAATATTTCTATTTGTTTCCAAATTAAACATGGGAATAGTACACAGAATTAAAACAAAAATGTACTTTTCCCACTTCGTTTTTCAGATATCTTATAACTATTATTTTATCAATCTATTTCCTTTTTCATCTATTTTTTGGGGAGTGGATGAATGAGCACGAACACTGGTGAGGGCACTCATGAAGACGCAGACAGTACATACCTCAATATGTTTCTTTAGTATTTGTAATTAAATATTCATGTTGTTGCTAGGTTCTGTCACGTTGATTCCTACCCCTAGCAGCCCTGTGCACGTGAGGACAAAATGCCGCTCTCTCGTGGCCATTGTTTGAGACCATTCTTGCGGCCACTGTGTCAGTCCATCTTGTCGAGGGTCTTCCAGCTATGATGTGCCTTCCCAGGGACTGATGTCTCCTGGAAATATATGCTCATAGCTACAAAAAAATAACCCAAAGCAGAACTTATGGAACACCAGTTTCTCTCCCAATTTATTTGAATTAATATCTTCTGTTTGATTAACAATACAAACAGGAAAAAGAATTTCTAGTTCTCAACAGTAATATTATACTTTAACTACGCTGTTCCTAGCTATATACAAGAATATATACGAGTAATTTATATATTTGAGGTCTTATCCTTTTGATAGTAAAGGGAAAAGATGTGCTGAAATTTGGCTGCCATGTTGGGAACTATTAGCGGTCCAAGATTAGTAGAGGAAGAAGTAAAAGGTAGAGGTAGAAAAAGTGTATGAAGAAAGAGGAAGAGGAATGAATTTGATTTATCCCTTGGGATGACTTTCTCTAAGCCTTTATTGGACCTTAAGGAACATCAATTTCATGTTTCTAATGTTTTTAAAATAGCAGAATGTATCTTGTACTGGGGAAAGGAATTGGTTCACGTTTCCACCTAATTCTCTACCTCTACAGCAGAGAAAAAGCAGCCTCGGTCACACAATGTTTAAACACTTGGCTGTGAACTGAAAGTTTGAACCGATTAGCTGTTCCATGGGATGGTGATATGATACCATAGAGATGGCAACCTGGGGCATTTCTACTCTGTCCCATGGCCTTGGTCTAGGTCAAAATCTGCTCAAAGACATTTGACAGAAGAGGTCTTTGAGGCACTGAAAAGTAGGTAGGGTGCTTTATATCTAAAGAAGAAAATTTGGATTCAGTCCTAATCATGAAGCTGTTTACACATGGCATAAAATGAGAATTTATTAATGCTAGAAACATTCTCTGGCCATACATAGTTCCTATATTGTGCTGAATTAACATAAGTTTAAATGCCTATACAACAGCATTGTGATTGTGCATTGATACTACTAAATGTAAAACTATACTCTCAAATGCGTTGTCAGGAAAAATCTCGATTTCTAGTAGAATTTTTGTTTTCTTCCTGGGGAACTTCAGGTGACCCGGTTTCCCATGGGCTTCGTGATTGGTCATTCGCTTGTTTCTCAGCGAGGTCTCAGCTATGAAGAGTGAGCTGAATAGGAACTTTACAGAGTTTATTCTTCTGGGATTCAGGACATCTCCGGAAATACAGATTCTTTTATTTTCACTGTTCTTGCTTATCTACATGGTCATTGTGGTAGGAAATGTCAGCATGATAATTGTCATCACACTGGACTCCAAACTTCATACACCTATGTATTTCTTCCTCAGAAATTTGTCCTATTTAGACCTGTGTTACTCCACAGTCATTGCTCCCAAAACGCTGGCCAATTTCTTGTCCAAGGACAAGAGGATTTCTTACAATGGCTGTGCAACACAATTCTTTTTCTTTGCTCTCTTTGTCGGGACTGAGGGCTTTCTTCTGGCTGTGATGGCTTACGACCGCTTCTCAGCCATTTGTTCACCTTTCCTCTATACCGTACGTATGTCTCAGGAGGCTTGTGTTCGTCTGGTGGCCGGCTCTTACATCTGTGGAGGCATCAATTCAATGATTCAAACGGGTTTCACCTTCAGTTTGCGTTTCTGTGGTGAAAACAGACTGGATCACTTTTTTTGTGATGTCCCCGCCCTGATCAAGATCTCATGTGTGGACACCTTTGTGAATGAAATTGTACTCTTTATCCTCTCTGCTTCCATTATCGTTGCTACCACAATGACCATTCTAGTTTCCTATGCTTACATCCTCTCCACTGTCCTGAAGATCCCTTCCACTCACGGTAGAAGGAAGACCTTCTCCACGTGTACCTCTCACATTACTGTGGTGAGTTTATTCTATGGGACTGTGTTCTTCATGTATGCCCAACCTGGAGCCATCTCCTCACCAGAGAAAAGCAAGATTATAGCAGTATTCTATACTCTTATCATCCCTATGCTAAACCCTCTGATTTACAGTCTACGAAACAGAGAGGTGAAAAATGCTGTGAAAAGGATATTGTTCAGAAAAATATTTTTTAACTGACCTCCAGCTATCTACTAAATAAATTAATAGATCAAAAGCAATATTTTAAATAATTTGTTATGAAAGAGTTTCAACTAAAGACACCTAAATATGGAGATTAAAGTTTATGTCTTGCTGTCATCAATGGATCATTTTAAGCACAAATAAAAACGAAAACAGGTTTTTCACATTCCTACATAATTGTTTTTTGATGTGGTGCCTTTTGTTTTTGTTTTGTTCTTGTTTGGTTTTGCCTGAGTGTATTCAAAATTGCAACCTAAAGATACAGTAAAACTAAATGGAAGCATTAGTACACATCATGCTTATTAATATAATGTATTGGATTTTTAATAATAAATGCTTGAAAATATTTTCAGTGTTACTTATGATTATATGTCTCAGTTTATATATCCATAGATCACTGTTGCAACATATTAACTAAAATCTCTTTGGTGCAATCAATTTAGTTATAGTTTTTAGTTGAGGAGAAGGTAATATCATTTTGTTAATATGTAATTTATTAAAGATGTTCTTTTGCTTATTAACAAATTGCATTCTATTACAAATTAAGGTAGGAAGAGGTAATCATTATGACTAAGCTTTGGTTACCCCTGCTGGGCATAAGTAGTTTAATATTTTTAAAAAGCACAGAATCACCTTTCACACTTCAACTAATTAAAACATAAAAGTAAACATTACTATATTAAAAGAGAGAAAGTATATTCTAGCATTAAACAATAAATTTAGGGAAAAAATTAATTACTTTAACTTGGAAACTTTATGTAAATGGAATGAAAAAACATCATTATAAATGAAAACATAGTCATTTTCTTTAACTTAGAAAAAACTCAAAATGTCAATTGTTATAAGTGAAGTCAGCATTTTTTTAGAAGTATAGGCAATGCAATATTATAGTAGATTGAAATTCAAGGTCAAAGAAATAAAAAGGAAGAAGTATCTTTTTTACAAACAAAACCTAAAAAACATTTTGGAAGGTGTATGGATTAATGTGCAAAAAGCAGTTTCATAAATTACAGTACACAGCAATAATTAATTATAAAAATAATACCATTGACATGTACATCAGAGATTATCAAGGAGCCAGAAGAAATTTTAATTGAGGCTATATAATACATGTGTTTAGAGGTTTATAAAAATCTTTAGATCATGCAAATGGGAAATAATGTTAACAAACATGAAGAGCATTAACTATATTAAAAACGTGTATGTAAATAAACAAGGAATATTGCCCATCTAACAATGTTCTGTAGAAAATAAAATAAAAAGACAAAAGGTTGGAGAGTGTTCATAATACATACAACCAACAAGAATATATATTTAACTTCTATAAATATGTCCAAAAAAGCAAACCAAATGATATGAAATGGACAAAACATTAACACAGAAGAACAAATAATATGGTTAATAAAATACATGAGTGGAGATGGAAGAAGATGGCATCCAATTAAATTTATCTGCCCGGAGCTCCTGCTGCCAGAGCAGAAAATTGGGAGGTAAGGTGAAGGAGACTGGGAGACAGAGGTATTAAATTAGAAACAGGATCCTGGGGTCTGTCCTGAACCCCACTTTTTAAATTTTCACTCAAAAAGTGAACCACTGGGCTTATGGGCTCTGGCTGAGCAGCTACTAGTGCTTTAGTTCAGAATCGAGTAGTGATTTCCCCAGTCTGATGCCGAAAAGGAGTCATAATCCTAGACTCAAGGAGAACCTCTGAAAGCTAGTAACAGGACCCCACACCAGAGCTCCCCGTGCTGTTAGCTGCCTTTGGCTCATAGCCGGGTGATAGGGGTCAGTGTGGATAGTCATAGATTTGGAGCAATTGAAAAGACATAAGGAAATTCACCTGAGTCAGATGACAGTGTGGCAGAAAATAAGCAGGCAACCATAGTCCAGGGAGTCAATTCAGTTCCAGTTGGCAGAGAAGAAAACAAACTCTCTGATAAGCTAGATCACTTCTTCTGGGGGTCAGCATGACAACGTCGAAATCAGGGCACACCATAAATACAATATAAAAAAGAGAGAAAAATATTTTCTTGGTAAAAACTGCAAATCCCAGGCTCATTACTGGTAGAAGTCCTTTCACATATATTAACATAATAAAGGAGCCCATCCTAAGGAATGCCAGAAGTTAGCTAGAGTCCAGATTCTTTTAACATTACAAAGACCCCCTAGAATATGCCTCAGTTTCAGAATAACTTAATCAATTTCAGCTGGCAGGGAGGGGGCGGGGCACAAAACCTCTGAGCTATTAAGGTATCAGCAGTCTTGGCACAAGCTAGGGCAACTCTGTAATCAGAATGTGGGGGAGCAACTGTCCACAGTCAGAGATCATACACACAGCTGGGGAGGTCCTGCCTGTCCTCCGTGTGACTGGGGGATCCTCTGCCTATCCTGGGGCCCTACACAGGGCTGAAGGAACTCCCCCCACCGCCTGAAGTGTGGCATACAGCACAAAGCAGCTGTACCAGTGATCTCCAGCACTCAACACTCCGGGAACTGCTGCCCAGCCTCCCCTATGATCCTATGATCTTGCCTTCAATGGTAATTCCGCCCAGCATCTGTAGGACCCTACACCAATGGGCACACCACTCTGCTACCTTGAGGCAAGGTTAAAACTCCTTCAGTCCCACTGTCAGGTGATCAAGCATCAGTTATCTCATTATACTTTTTCTTCTCTCTTTATCCTCTCATCCTAATATCTTTCCGACCACAGTAGGTATCCCTGGGCCAGGTTTTTTTTCCTCTTTTTCTCTTCTCTCACATTCCTTACATATGCCACTGCTGGCTTCTGGGCAACTACCCTCTGTCTAGGGCAACTCCACCCAAACAGCAGGGGGAATTCCAGCCTGTCCTCTGTGGGAATGCTGCACACCAGACAAGGCAGCTGTGACAGCCCCTTCAGTGCTCCATGCTGCCGAGGAAACCTCAGTCTGTCCTCTATAGTGATCTTGACAACTAGGGCAATTCCACCCAGCACCAGTGGAACCCTGCACTAAAAGGGCAAACCAACCTGCCACCTTGGGGCAGGGTTTAAAACCCTCCAACCCCACATCAGGTGATCAAGGATCAGCTATCTCTTTACTCTTTGTTTTTTCCTTCTCTCTTTCCTACCACAGTCAGTCTCAGCAAGCACATTTGTGTTATTTTCCCCTTCTTTCTCTTCTTTTCTTTTACTTGCTTTCTTCTCTCTCTCTTTTTATACTTCTTTTTTGCTTATTTTATGTTTCTCTCCTCTCCATCGCTTTCCTTCCATATGCCTCTGCTGGTTTCCAGCCCCTGACCCTCTCTGCCCACACAGTTGGAAGAACTCCAGCTTGCCCCCTGTGGTAGTGCTGCACATGTCATGAGGCAGTACTACACACGTCATGGCACATGGCTCCGCTCTTTATCTATTTTTCCCCTTTATTTTCTTCTTCATTTGATTTTTATGCTTTTCCCCTCTATCTCTTCTCTCTTTCCCTCCAGTCTCAGCCATTTCATGGGTTATTTTGTTTTCTTTTTTTGACTCTTTGTTTTTATTTTTGTTTTGTCTTTGCATTTTTTGTGTGTTAGTTTGTTTTTATTCTTGCTCTTGTCTTTGTTTTCTCCTTTCTCTCTTTTTATTCTCTTCTGTTTCTCTTTCCTTTCACATGCAACTACCGGCTGCCAGGCCACTCCCTAGGGCAATTCTGACAGCCCAGTTAGGGGAGCTCCCACCCACACATGTTGGTTTTACACACCAGCTGGGGAAATCATGCCCTTCATCCACACTACACCAAGTGGCTGGGGCATTTCCCATTCAAATGGCTGGGGAAACTCCCAGCTACAACACAAAACCCTTCAAGTGACTGGGGAAACTCCTTCCCACCATCTGTGGTTCTCCATGCTGATGCGGTAACAGCTGCCCAACCTCCACGGTGATCTCTCCAACCAGGGTAATTCCTCCTGCCATCGACTGCTCTATACCAAGAAGGGTACACCAACCCGCCCTCCGTGCATTTCTGTTGCAGAGTGAAATACCACATGCAATCTGAGGCTCTCCAAGCACTGTGAGACACACCACTAGGGCTTTCTGGGAGATCAGCCAGTGAAACACCATCCTCGTGTGCCCACAACCACCTGAGCAGCATCCCGTGAAAGGACTATCCAACTCACATTCCAAACAATGGAATACTGGCTTGGATAGGGTAAGAGTGAAACCACAGGAAGATACAGCAATAGGCTGACCCTCCAGTGCAGCTACCTTCAGGTAGTTTGCAGAAGCACTCATAGGAATCCCTCAAGAGAGAGCCCAGTGCTCTCTGAACCTGGAAGATTGTGCTGGGCTCTTCTAAAATAACACATAAACAGCAACCAGCCCCAAAAGACAGGTCGCAGGGACATAAACTTAACAAGGAGGCTACAGAGCTAAACAGCACAATTGGATGACTTGACCTGAAAATATTTTCAGAGCTTTCCACCCAAATGCAAAAAAAAAATAAATTAAAAAAAGCACATTCTTTTCAAGCCCACATGTTACATAATCGAAAGATAGACCTCATTCTGGGACACAAGTTGAACCTGAGTAAATTCAATCACATAGACATTATACAGACATCTCTCTCTGACCACTATGCCATAAGGCTGTAAATCAACCAAAGGACGATGAAGACAAGGGCAAACAATTGGAGGATGAATAACTCTCTATTGCAAAATGAGTGGGTATTGGCTCAGATCAGAGATGAAATCAGGAAGTTTCTAGAAGCCAATGAGAATAAAAATGTGATGTACCAAAACGTTTGGGACACAGAAAAGTCATTTATTAGAGGCAGTTTTATAGCAAGACATGCACACATGAAAAGGAAGACAGATGTATGGTTAATATGCTGGCATAAAACTTACACCACTTAGAGCAGAGTCAACAGAACAATCCTAAAATAGCAAAATGAAAGAAATAATAATAATCAGAGCTTGGATACACTAGAGGGAAAACAAGAAAACTGGGGGTGGGGGGAATTATGTAGCTAAAAGACGGTTCTTTG